GTTCAGTTTACTTTCTTAAGTAATGATTATTGATGCAAGAACTTAACACACTGAACGCACTAATTTCGAAGTATACTGATACTAATGTGCGATAGAATCACGGAAAATTTTAGGAGTATAGTTGAGTACCTGTTATGTCTCCCCACCCATTGTACACTATAGTATGACCTACCAGTAGGCCAAATTACCGTTAATTTATTTAAAAAACTACACTTCGCAAGTCAGTCGTCTTGAAAATTTTTTTTCATTTGAAATTTTCTATTGACTTTTAAACTCGGTCTCAGATACAAAAGTTTATTTCTCAAAAATAACGTCTGTTATCATACAAATAATATAAAGACTTACATCTGGATGAATATCTTCAAATGAATCTATTTCAAGTGCAATTAAAACTAATAATGGTAAATTTGGAGGTAATGTTCGTACATTAGATACAAACATATATTGTACAGATTCAGATAATTTTGACCAAAGATTTTCAATATCTGGTACATAAATAATAGCTGGAGCACTTCGACGTGCTTCAGTAAATAATTGAGCACAAGCTTCTTCTGGTGTACGTGATGTTTGACCATGAAGATAACCAAGTTCAAATACATAAAAAGCACAATCAAGTTGTTGTACAATAGCTGGTGCAAAAAATCGACATAAACCATTATCAGATGTACTTTTCATTGTAAATGTTGCATTTCGATGTGAACTTGATGCAAATGATGTTGTTAAACCAAATGTTGTAGTTTTTTGTATTAATGTTGTTGTTGTTGTTGTTGTTGTCATTGTTGTTGTTGTTAAATCATCACTTATACTTTGAAATGGTATTAAATTTGAATTTTTATTTATAATTGTACGTTTAAAAAATAATTCATTTAATTTATTTAAACATTTATCAAGTTTTTCATTAAATAATGGCATTAAATGTATATCTAATGAACGACCAACAGGGTGTTGACATGAACGATGACATGCTGGTACAATACGATGTAATGCTGTATAAAAATCACCACGTGATAAATGTAATGAACGTGGATCAATTTTATATTTTTGTCGTGAATGATAGATTTGTGGATAACGTCGACGTAAACCTGATAAAAATGCTTCTTGACATAAACTTTTTAAATCAGCACCACAAAAACCTGCAAGGAAAAAAAATAATTTTTCTAGAATATAAAAAAAGTATCCTGTATCTTTTGGGTGGCTATTCTATTCTGATTAGAAAATTTCATTGAAAATATCAAAGTACAATTCGAACGGATCTGAGTCTGAATATTTTGTACTCGATGAACTCTACTACATAGATGCCTTACAAGAGAACCTCCTAAGATGTCCGCCTTCTGATTTCAATGATTTTTTTTGTCTATAAATACTACATAGTGTTCTAATAAAAAATCTAAACGGATTTGGCTTCCTAAGCTATCGAGTTTTTTCTAGAAATATCAGTTCTTCGGAAAACAACTTCAGATAGAGCAAAAAAAGTTGATATAAGCAATTCACAGGAGCTACATGCTATAACATCATAAATTGAAACACATAATGATTAATCTCCTTCCTTTTAATCCCATACGGATTACGCTAATAGAGTTTTGTTTATATCTTACTTGCAGTTCGTATAGCCATTTCATCAACAAAACCATCATGTGGTTTTGATTCCCATTCTTTCATATGAATTTTTAAAATTTGTTTTCTTGCCTAAACAAAAACAAAAAAAAATATTTTTTTTTTTCATCAAAATTTTAATTACTTCAAGTGTTGGTAAAGAAAAACGAAATTCTCTATCAAATCTTCCTGGTCGTCTCAATGCTGGATCAATAGCATCTAAACGATTTGTTGCACCAATAACAACAACTTCACCACGATTATCAAGACCATCCATAAGTGCAAGTAATGTTGATACAATTGATGCATGTATTTGATCTTGTCGTGCTGAACGTACTGGTGCTAAACCATCAATTTCATCAAAAAAAATTATTGATGGTCGTTGTTGATAGGCTTGTTCAAATAAAACACGTAATTGTCGTTCACTTTCACCAACATATTTACATAAACAATCAGCACCTTTACGCATAAAAAATGCTATACGACGATCAGGTGATGAACATTCATTGACAAGTGCACGAGCAACTAATGTTTTACCAGTACCTGGTGGACCATAAAAAAGTACACCGCCTAGAAAAAAAATTTTTTTTTTCATTTGTAAAACGAAAACAAATAAATTCTTTTATTACGCGGTGGTTTGATTTTATAATGATGAAATAATTCTGGATAAACTAATGGAAGAACAATCATTTCTTTTAATGAACAAATTATTGGATCAAGACCACCAATATCATCGAAAGTAATCTAAAGATAAAACTTTCTATATGAAAAAATTCAAAATAAATTAAATACAAACTGTTCGATCAATTTCAATAGATTCAGCATCAGCTAATGATACAGCATTATTATTTGTACGTCGACTTTTACTATTTAAATCAAGATTTAATGCTCCAATACCACTACCGGCACCATTTGATGATGTTCTTGTACTTGGTTTTTTTGAATTTGTATAAACACTAAGTAAATCTAAATTTGTTGGTAAACATCTAAATAATAAAATTTATTTATTAAAGAAAAGAAAAAGAAAAAGAAATATATATATATATTAACCTCATTCGTTTTAATGCAGTACTTTTAGCTAAACGTGCAGTTCGTTCAGGTCGAGAATCAAGATCACCATTAGTTAATGGTCCCATTGCTTCACTATCTGATGATGAATCTGATGTAGATGAACTTGATGCATGAGCCGAAACACGTCGTCTAAATATACAATATTATTGCTCTCTATATAAACTCTCAAAAAAAATATATATAGAGAAAATTTTTTGAAGCCTTCCATAAAATGTTACTACTACTACTTTTCATATGCTCTAAAAAATTATACCGCTTGCGTCTTGATCGACGCGATGTTGATGGTCGTTCATCATCCTCATCGTAAAATATAGTTTTTCGTCTTCGTCTTGGTTGTTCTATTACGATAAAAAAGAAAAAAAAGACAATCAATACTAATCGAAAATAAAAAACAATCTCAAAGATTAAATTTTGTTAATTTCTATGAGAAATATATAAACACAATTTTAACAAAAAATTTTAATTAATATTTAGAAGATTTCCATTTGAGTAAAAACTAATATGATATTCTTAATTAGTATAAAGTGTGTTGGTCTATGAAAACTTTGCTTTTATTTGCCAGATATCTGCCATCTAATAACTTTCGCAGGTTTTTTTTTTTACAAAGTCCAAATAGTCGTTCGATACAATTCATTTTTTGTTCGGTCGATCACTGAGGGGAAACCACGAGTGAAGTTTTCAACGAAAAAAACAAAGTTTCAGAAATTCTTTAAATTACGCATAGACTAACTCACTTTTTTATGCTGATTCAAAATTTCATATTAGTTTTCTCACTCAAATCGAACTTCTGCTAATCGAAATCTTCTAAATATTGATTTAAAAAGATACAAAACTGTGCCTGAAGAGGAAAAGTGTGCTATGAAATTTTTTGATTTTGGAAAATGTATGATTTAATAGTTTTTCAAAAGGGATTTCAAATGAGCAATAACCAAGTTTTGGTCATTTCAATTTTCTAAATTTAAATATTTGTTCAAAGATAAAAGTCATTGATAAATAAAGTAAATATCCTAATAGTGTCTACCAGAGATCGACAACTCGCCGAGTTACACTATCTTGCCTCGTCTCCTTACGATACAGTTTTTATGGACCTCTTTATATGCTTTAAATGTACAGCGGTCGCAGCAGATCCTTCGTTTCCTGATTTTTTTGATTTTCAATGCTCTACTGAAACATGTTGAAAATCAAATAAATCCGAATTATTTGTCAAAAAATTTCAATGAATTCGAAAAAATTAGGAAATAATGATTCGCTGTGACCCCTGAGTGTATTGCTTTGTTTTTTGAACCTATTTATACGTATTAAATGTACTTTATTTGATCATATGAAATAAAAGAAAGTATTTGTACACATGTGGCTGACAAAATACATCAAAAACACTCGTTTTTATGCTAGTTTCTTGACGAGGCGAGACAGATTTTTAGCTGCCTCGTCCATCTCTGGTGTCTACTATCGCATCAAAACCTGTATGTCGTTCAATTAAAGAATCAATTAGTAATTTATATATGGAATTGAAGCATCATCAAAACTACAAAATACATCATTTCAGTAGTATGTTGTCTTGTTTGCTTATTGCACATTTGAAGAAAAAGACGGTTGGGAATTTTTTGAATAACTTTTGATAGAATTATTATAGAGCTACGGTTTTCATCGTTGGAAAGAGGAGATAGAGATGCACTGAACTGTATATTACAGAATAATTTGATCTAGATTTTTTTTTCAATGACTGAAATTGACTTTTTTGAAAACCAACGTACTCCGTAAGGTGACTAAGGTCAACTTTCAATAATCAGATGCACATTGAAGATCTACAAAACTTTTAGATTTACTCGTTCAGAAGTTATAGGTATTTTATTTGAAACTCTTAACCGTTTTTTTCTAATTTAAGCGAAACCAATTTTTTAGCATTTCTTCAGAAAAACCTATACTATGCCATTCGATGTTGTTCATCTTCTCTTTCCAACGGTGAAAACTGCAGCTCTAGATCTTCCTTCTATCAAAAAATACCTATCCACCTTCTTTTTGTTTTTGAAATGGGAGTTAGCCAAGAAAAACATTAGGTGAACTAATTTAACTTTTTATGCGCTTCCGTTTTCTGTCAACTTTATTTTAGAAGCAAAAAACTATTATAGAATTTCGAAAAGCTTTTGTTAAATAAGATTAAATTACCATATAAAGAAAATTTTTGAATAGGTGGTTTACGTTCTCTTAATGAATATTTTACTGTTTGTTGAATATTTAATTCTTCTTCTTCTTCCTCTTCATCTTGATTTAAACCATCCATAGTATTATCTTCTGTTGTATCACCATCATTTTGATGTGTTTGTTCTTTTTTTTTATTATTTGTTTTTTTTTGTATCATTATCATTATTTTGATCATTTTGTTCTTGTTGTTGTTCATTATCATCATTTTCTTCATGTTCTTCCGAATATATATCAGGATCAATTGATTTTCGACGATTTTTTACACGATCATACATACTCAAATTTGACTAAAGAAAAATAATATAAAAATATTTTTCTATTGTTAATCTTACTGATCGAACACCGTTTGTTAATCGATTTGTGGTTGGTGATGCACTATTAGATGTATCGACTAATGTTCGAACTAGAATTATAAAATAATTTTTAATAAATAGAAAATAGATTCTTTTTCTTTCTTACCATTTCGACGAGTTTCTCGACGTCGACGACGTCCAATAGGTTCTTCTTCATCATCACTAAAAAAAGAAGAAAAAATGATTTAAAAAAATATATGATATTTTTGAATTTAAATCTTTTACTCTTCATCCATATAATCAAAAGCATTACGATAATTTGGTGTTGTTCTTTTTCTTAAAATACGCTAGAAAAAAAGAAATAATTATTATTTTTAAATATTAATTTAATTAAATTTCTTACATGATTATGTGATGGAGCTTTAGAATTACCAAATGAATCATTTGATGATTCTTGTTCATAATTAACAACTTTCTAAATATTCAATTTAAAATGAAATTTTTTCAAAAGAAAAACATAAAAAAATATATTCGAATACTTTTATATGACGATCTTTATATGATTCATTTGGATTTGGATCACTATTTGGGTGACTACTACGTGTATTAACCATGAAATAATCGTTCTATTTATTTATTTATTGGATAGAAACAATTGAAATAACATCGATCTGAAATATATGTATAATATTCATATGGAATCAATTGTCTTTGTCTACAATGATCACGCACTATTCGGCGTTAAAATCAATTTCTGAACAATAGATTCAGACAGTGGCGTCTTTTATTCATTGCTTAATATACATTTAACCTATCAGATTATTTGCCGGTAGAGGACACTAGTAGTCGGAAAAAATTATTGCATTATTTTTTCACTTCTTCTATTCGAAAGAAATAGATGTTTGATTGTTATATTTGGTAAGGGACGTCCCGAGCAGAGGAAGAGTAACGCTGCCAATCTTGGAAAATTTTCTTTTTTTCCTCCAGTGAAACTGAACGATTTTCTTTGCCTTTTTGAATGAACAATATCCTCAACAGAGGTTGAAACGGGACACGTTACAATTAAGTCTTCGAAAATATCTCGTATGAAAATTTTATTATAAAAGTATCCATATCGAGAACGTATATACATAATAATCAGTTTAAATTTTTATAATGAATGAGCTAGATAGTATCGAAGAGAGAAAAAAACGAATTTCTGCAATATTTTTAACTTTCGTTAATTTCTATCTATCTCTTATATTTTCTGACGATTGTCTGTACTTTAAAATCCTATCAATCCTGTTGGTATTTTTAATAAAGACTTGTGTATTTCGACCCAGATGTACTTCTATGATCAGTAATATAACATAATCTAAGAGTTAATAATGCAAATGAATTATAAAATAATTCAAAATTTCTATATGTTATGGAAGAGATTTATTTAAACAAACTACTAGGGTCTACAAGTGTCTAACATTATTAACAAGGGTATAAGTGTACTCTCACTAGAGTCCATCGGGTTCGATTCGGATCCGAACCCGACCGAGTTCGAATTCGAAAATTCTTGGGCTCGATGAGCTCTAATTCCCACCCCAACCTTCATGCATATTCACACTCTGGTAGATCCTGCCGTAACTATTGCTATGAATTAATAAAAACTGAATTATTTTATAATTCATTTTTTTTGTTTTGAATTAATTTGTAATTTATTTGTATAGTTCAGTGTAATCTAATTGTAATGGGTGATCCAAAAAGAATAGAACATTTTTATTTTCGTTTTTTTTGAAAACTAGAAACATATTTGAAGGATTCTATTATTAGCTCGTTTAATACAAAATGTTTTGCGCTTCTATATTATTGACTTTGTTTTTTTACATCAGTTTTTCTCGTCGATGAAAAGTTGAAAACATTTGCCAATACTTGGTTGTCAAAATGTGACAGTTAAACAACCGAAATTGATAAACTATTTTCGAAAGAAGAGCTCTACTGAAATCGGAAATATTCTACAAGAATTTCTACCAAATTGTCAATTTGTTCATATATATCAGCAAGTTTTTGAAAAAAATATACGAGAGAAAACTTCGTAAAATAATGATTTGAAAACCCTGAAAAAAGATTGTTTTAGTAGACATGCGGCAGTATTTGTTCTTCTTTTAGTTTAATTTAAAGATTTTCTTTGATCAGTTTAAGTTTTACTTCGTTTTTCCTAAGTGCAATTCAGAATATTAAAATAGGAGTCAATTATTGCAAAAAATTTGCATTTTCATTGGTAGCTTATCTTTAAATATTTTTTCGAAGCTGGAACTCGAAAATATAATGTATTTTAGGAGATCACAATACAACAAGACTCGACCCTTCTCCTTTGAATGTCGTAAACTCTACCCTCTTAGTAGCCATCCCCTATTTCCGATCTTCTTTTTTTGGATACATTGAATTCCAATGTCTAGAAGTAATAAAATTGATTCATTTCTGTAATCATAATAGAATAACATGTTATAGAACATGATATGTCTTCATTAGATAAACTGATTTTTCTTTGGATTCTTTTTTTCGTTAATAAAGTAGTATTGTTTATTGATTTACTGATATATATTAAAACTGATAAAATCTATCATCAAAGTGAATTGTATAAAAAGAAGTTTTATTTTATTTCAAGATGAAATATGAATAACATATGATAATTTGTAGATTTTTATTAATACTGAATGATTTCTATTTAAATGACTGATCCATGCAACAGGTTAAGAGTTACAACTGATGATATTCTATATTATAATGCATGACTGAATACTTATCAGAACTAAGATCGGTTTGTGTTTTTTCGAAACCGAACTAATTCCATCTTTGATATTTATATTCTTTTATAATTTCAAAGAAAAAGACTGAATCTTCTTAACTTTTGTAACATATATTTTTGATAAAAATCACAATTTCAATATAGTAATTATGAATACTATAAAAACTGTCAGGGACATTTGATCGATATCTAAACCATCAACACTCGATCGTAGAATATTTGAATCAATATCAAGGTATACATGTATGTTATAATATTGATTGATTTGATTGTGTAGTCAAGTATAAAAAAAGAAATGATACACGATAGATTTGACATGTTTTCATATTTTTTCATAAATATATTTTGTAAACAAAACAAAATAAGTAGTTAAGTGGGTTTTTTTTCGTTTCAAAATGATTCTACTTTGAAATAATTTCAATCTTAGATTTCTATTTTATCTTAGAAAGTATTTTTGTTTATACAAACATTTTCTCTTCAACGATAAATTAAGTCATAATCGATCTATTTGATAAACATAAGAATAATTTAAATTAATTGAACAGAAAAAAAAAAGACAATAGAAGTAAAGAAAGATTTGAGACAGTAATAGTCTACATCATAAAAATGTCCTTTCTATGCAAAAGAGGTCGAAAAGTTTGAATTGAAAATAGATTGATGACACTGTCCATAATTAATACAAGTGTCATAAAGTTAAGTAAAAAAAAATCTTTGATGCATTATATGTATTGTTGTCAAATGTAAAATATCCTCTTTTTTGTCATTGTTATACTTTTATAGTTTTTTCTTTTCGGAAGATCACAGAGATTCTTCCATTTTAAAATTCAGACCCTATTGAGTTCTTTATAAGTATATAGATAAATGATAGAAATAAAACAATTTTATACAAAGGAAATGAAGGTGTGCAAATATGCAATATATATCTGATTGATGGAGATATTGCTTGACGAAAAAAACGTAGGAAGTTAAAAAGGTTCAAACAGAATACATATTGTTATTTTCCTATATCATTGTAATTAATCTATGCATCAATACGTAGTTCTTTTTGTACTTAAATATTCTATAAACATTTATAACATGTGTTTTATTTTTATTACTTCATAGAAAACATATCTATTTTATTACATTATTTTTTTTATTTCTCTTTTTAAATATTACGCTACCACTTCTGCTTATTCATTATGATTAAACATTATGATAAAATTTTGTTCCCTATCTTTCACTCTTAGGAATCATTGATGGATGACAACATATGATTCGTTAGTAGTTGATATCGTAAAGACTACGTTTTTTTTTCATTCTTTGTGCGGTTAAATACACGTCGTATCAATATATGTATGTAGACAGTGACAATGCAGAGAACTCCTAAACCAGAATCTATTCATCCAACTCATCAATCTCGTGATGTTATTGAGCGATCATCAACAAATCAACGAAGATATCTAGAACCTCCATTTGAGTATAAAAATATAAATAATAG